GGGTAGGCCTATCTTACGATTAGCAGAATGCTTGACCTCGACACTGGACGTCATAATGGGCGGATTCCTTTTCCTACCAAACTTTGAACCTTGAAGAAACTTCCTTTTGGTTCGTTTTCATCGTGATGTGGTGGGTCTGTTTTTACAGCCTTGAGCTTGAATTATAAAAACTTCATTCTGATGAATTTGCTTTCAAATTGCAGAGCAGAGAATGTTTTATATATATATTTTTTTTTAACCCCGCTTGCCCTTGTTTTTCTTCCAGATTTTCAGCATTCGGTTAGATTATCTCATGTCTTTCTAGATCTATCGAACACGGTTGGATTTCTATCGCAATTTGCGTTGATTTTATTGAGGAAGCGGCTGTGCAACGAATCACACACCGTCATAACACATTTATAGATTGCTTCAGTCATTTCTTTGGTTTAAAAAATGATGGTGCTACATCACCCGCCTGCTGCTGCCTAATTATCTGCTCTCGGTGACAGTGACGGAAATCTTGCTGACAACAGGCAGGTAGATAGGAGCGGAAGTGAGAACGTTCTGTGGGTCAAGGTAACGGATCTCGCAGTTGAAAAGATGCACGCTGTAAAAATGAGGTAAATTTGTATAATTTTGGCAGTATTCTAAATTTAGTGCCATAATACACGATACTACGCTACTTGCGCTAGGCCCTCTATCGGAATTGAAATTACATGTTATATGGCAGCGAAAATGTCCGAGGTCGAATGACCGTCTCTGCGACGGGACACAGCGATTAAAAGGAAAACACAGTCCAAGGACACAGACACGGAACACAGACAAGTCACACAGACCCCAGGTCGAGGAACGCCGCCCGAGACCCTGTCCACAAAGACGGGGATGGTGAAGACGAACGCTCCGACCACGGCCCCGACCTCCACGTCCCTCTCCACCCTGGACGCGTACCCCAGGTACGGATGCCCCAAGCACAGCGTGATCACCCCCAGCACCTCGATCACACGTCAACGGAATGTGGAACCGTTCAGTCGCATCATAGTGCGACTCCGATGATTTTGCGTCTGAACGTTTAATGTGCGCTCACGAGCTCTACGATGGTGAAAATGAGGGCGATATACTCCATCAGATGGGTCTGGCACAAGGTAAGGATGAAAGAACGAAAGGAAGGGTAAAGAGAAATGTATTGACAGTGCTTTCTTTTCCGCACCGGTGAAACTTAGGCAATATACATTTATAGGCTAAGAAGAAATGTCACCTTGATGTCAAAGACTCAGTTTATTCCAACTATTATGTTCATAACCGGCCATGATCTCGTGATAAAGTTTATTTCTTCCTGCCCAGCATGTGTTTTAGACTTTTCACCAATTGCATCGGAGAACCAAAAGATACTTCCCCTTAAGAAAATTCCTCTATTGGTCAAGCATCCACGTTTTGGGTCCTACGTGCCCTGGTTGCACGTTGTAGGCTAAGGCCATCATGGCGTCACGAGAAGCAGACGACACACCTGCTCGTGCGCGCGATTGGTCGGTACGGGAAGCGTCGTCTGCTCGTCGTGGTCTCTCATTGGTTCCCGTGACCTGGGGAAGCTTTTACTTTCTCACGTAAAGATACGCATGGCCAACGTCACGCCACTTGCACCTGTAGTACTCGGAATTCTGCCCCTTCATTCAGATTGGATTCATTCATTGGTCTCGGTTGATATCCAGACTTCCCGCCGAAATAAGATATGAAACTCAAGAAGACCCATAACTAAAATTTCAAAAGGTCCCAAAGGGCAAGGTTTTTTCGTCTTTTATTTGTTTCACGCTTTGAGTGTTTACTCATTACGGATGGGATCTATACCAGTATATCCTGGAGAAATGAGAACAACTCGACGGAACCCTAATGTCTAACGAAAGTATAGACTTTTCCTGACTTCCAGCCTCCTACTTGACTTGTCACTCCGACACGCCCACCGAATCCTTCATGTCACTTAAAAAAGAGAATTTTTCGTCGAGAGTCACGTTTCACTATAGCATGCCTTTCAAGAACATATATCTGTTCTTCTTGACATTGAAATCCGGCTCTTTAAAGCCGGAATGTCATTTTCACAACAGAATGGCAACCTGGATGCATGCCGACCGTGATTCATGAGGTCTTCTGAACGCAATGTACCGAACCATGTCGTCGACTGGAGGAAAGGCTTGCTCCCAAATGTTGCCACTCTGATGACTGTCTGCCCTAAAACACACGAGGGAAATTGAGGCAAGCATAGCTTCGGGCTCGTGCGGCACTCTATGCTGTTCGATGTCTCATGAAGCCCTGAAGCTTTCGTTTGTCCCCACTGGATTCTTTTTCTTATTTTTACCGAATTTTCTCCTTTTTTATCACTCAATTTTTTTTTAAAATTGAGTGATAAAATCCTTTTTTAAAATTTTTATCACTCGTGTGCACACGGGATTTCAAAGGAAACGAAGAAGTCTGGTAATTGTGAATTGTATGAATGCGAACAGGCTTCTTGACTGCGATTTATTTGACTCTCGTGATGAGGCGTGGACCTGATGTTGCTATTTTTTCAGAGTAGACTCATTTTTTCCTCTTTGCAAATGTACATATCTTCAGTTTCATTTCATTAGAAGACTCCTCTAGTAGTGTATTTGCCCAATTTCTTACTCCATAGCCTCGAAGACAAGCAGAAATGTTGAAAATCGCAGGAAAACTCCATCGGAACGATTTCGACTCAAGTCAATTCTTGCCAAAAGAGCAGATGCCCAACCCATTGGATGGTGCAAAATCACCTGTCACATCAAATTCCGAACTTGACAACCTTTTCCTCTGAATAACGCGTCTCGCAACCTCTCTGAACCGGAAGTTTCAATTGTGACAACTTGCGCAATTCCTCCCCCATAACCCCTACATCTCCAGCTGCAATTTCCACTCAAGCATGCAAGCACGGTTCCAAATTGAAGAAAAGGACTCGAACCGAGCTCGGCCCTCCATGCTAGCCTGCTCTTCTCAACTCGGTCCTCCGCGCACTTCCCGACTGAACCCGAGGCTGAAGAGCGAAGGAATTCCGTCCGCCTATGATTGATGGTTTAACCCTTTCCAACCCAATGATGTCATCCTGCGTCATGGTAAAATGTTATATATAAAGGCATTGCTTTAAGTCTATGACTCCATTTGGCATCATAGTTTTCTAGTACTTTTGAGAGTTGGTTATTATTTTATTTAAATTACTTGTTAAACTTCATTCTTTTTTTTCATGGAGAGTAGAAATTTACTTGAGCTGGAAAAGTTTTAAAGGAAGTTTTGCAGCAGATGATGTCATCACGTTCGGTTAAGCGCTTGGCTCCGGCAATTCTCAGAATTCTGACGAGTCGGCACGTGCAATGCGGCTCTGGATTTGCCAATTTATGCTGGAGTTCCATCGGTTTTCCACAGTGATTCCTGATTGGATGCGAGGGGACCGACAATTTTCAGAGTAAAAGTTATCAGAAGCAGAAATGTAAAAATAACTAATCCGTTCACGTCCCCTTCAGATGCACTTCCCCTCCTTCCAAATCCTTTTTTCACGGAAGGAAATCCTTCGCAACTTCGATTTGATCTACTTTACTTGCCGCGCTCTTGCGAAGCGGGACTCAAATTTTCCGATAACTTCCGATGTGCGTTTTCATTAAGCGTTACAGGTTCTCATGCGAGAATTACAATAGGCATCACGTGTTAATTTCTAAGCGGATGCTCGAGAACATGAATAGGTCATTAGGAAGATATTCTCACGGTAGAGCAGTTCATTTCCGCAGGGAAGTCAATAACCTTGATGGGGCAAGAGGAAGGCGAGGGGGGGGCAAGGGGGGGAGAGGGAGGTCATGTGTCACCCTATTTCCTCCACCTCGGGTCACACCCTTCCCCCGCCGGTTTCCGTTTTCCTCTTTCACGCCCGACCGGGAAGGGAAAGCCAGCTGTCTTTTTGTGCTTCCGTGTGAGGGTCGTGTCTGTTATTTGCATCGAAGGGGATTCTACAGGAATGCTCACTCCTGGATTGCCCTCTGACGGGATGAGCATTTTCGACTCGAGACAGGGAAGACGATTTGCAGGGCAAACATAATGGGAAATACAAGGTTTCGACTTCTCTTGGGCTATACCTTCTTGCGTTTCTCTACACCAGGGGTGTCAAACTCAAATCGGTCGTCGGGCCACTCTCCTTACCCTGCAGATGTCTATGGTCCACATCCATAGTTTTTCACCGAAATTTGTGCTAACAGTCAATACAAGCGGAATTTTCAAGCACAGACGGCGGGCAGGATGAACCACACCTCCGTGGGCCGTATCCGGCCTGTGGGGCCGTATGTTTGACACCCCTGCTCTACACGATTTTGCACGTACTTTTCTGACAGCAACAAAAGCAGCTGTGCAAAAACCATGTCTATCGGAATAAGACAGATTTGCCAGGGCTAATTCTTGTCGAGGTGTTGGATCGAGGCCTGCGTGGGTTGCCATAGCGATTCTTTCTCCCATTCACTCCCCGACATCTCAGACTAAATAAAAGGTGAGAAGCAGGTTGTGCCAACTGAGCACCAGGGTGTTCAAAAATGAGCACCAGGGAAGTCTGTCTCAAGTCACACGAGATCGGAGGTTTTCATTGTTTTTGCGAAGATTCGAATTGCTTGTAAATACTTAAATTTGCGCTACATCTCGATATCGAGCCACCGTGGACTCAGATTTCCCACGAATCGTTGTTGCCACATGTGTCTCGCCCGTGGAGAAACAGCGGAGATGATTTTCCCTCGATGAGTATGAAGACGGTGTGAATTGGGCGGACGGGATCACAGTTTCCCGTTATCTATCCGGTCTGACTCACGGAAACGGGCAGTAAATAATCCGAACGCGATTCCCCATCATCGCCATCATCATAATCGAGACTGTGAGGCGCGAAATCCTTCCCCGACGGTCATTATGTTAATGAGGGGCGCATGCGCCGCTCCCAGGGGGAGGGGGAGGAGAGAAAACAGGAGGGGGAACCGAAGAGAAGCAAGCCAGTGGGACCACAAGGAGTGCGAACGCGAGGTGCTCTCAGATGTGAAGCGAGATGAAGACAGAAGGCGACGTGGCGGCTTCCCCCGACCCATACAACCAACATCACCTCTACATCCCCTACGGTGGCGCCTATCGCTATCACTCGTCCCCGGCGGACCTGGAGTCCTCGGGGTCGAACGGCAGCGGCACCTTCGCCTGGACCATGCACGGGATGCAAGAAGAACCTCCCGCCCTCGACTCCCTCCCGGACCAGGGCGAAAAGCGACCCAAGAAGCGACGACGAACCGATCACCAGAAGTCCCTCCAGCGACGACGTCGTCCATCCCCCAACCCAGACGAACTTCAACACCAACGCGCCCTGGCGAACGTTCGCGAACGGCAGCGGACCCAGAGCCTGAACGAGGCGTTCGCCTCCCTCCGCAAGATCATCCCCACCCTCCCGTCGGACAAACTGTCCAAGATCCAGACCCTCAAGCTGGCTTCTCGCTACATCGACTTCCTCTATCAGGTGAGTCTCCAACTTTTTAGGAGGGAAACGCCGCCGCATTCGGATGGAAGTCGGTTTTAGTAGTTCGTGCCGGTCGCCGATTAATTCGGGTCACGTGGTGTTTAGGAATCAGCATGAGGCAGGCAGCTATCCTAAAAACCCGCCAGGAAATTGATTCAACTTTCTTTTATTATTTATTTCTGAATTCACTTCGTGCACGATGTCTCGGCCCAAAGCCTGGGGGTCAGCCCCAACCAGTCCATTTAGTCGAATCGAATCAATCATTTATATCAAAGGAATTAATATTGAACTGTCATTGATCTGGTCTCTTGGGCTTGGCCCAAAATAAAACGTTTTTTTTTTTACTTTCTCAAACTGTTTTTCCCCGCTCGACTTGGCGTGCAGTCCATACATTTTTTGCCCACATATTTTTACAGAGAATTCTTCTCAGTCGTCTCCTCATTAAAAGCAGCAAGCAACTTCCCCTTCAACTAACGACCTTCTAGAATCATCCCATTAAAATGCGACGGTGCTCCCCTCAGGTGCTCCAGAGCGACGAGCAAGACCCAAAACTGGGCAGCCCCACAGCCTGCAGCTACGTCGCCCACGAGCGGCTCAGCTACGCCTTCTCCGTCTGGAGGATGGAAGGAGCGTGGAACGCAAACCTTTGATGCTCCCGAGAGATCATCCCATTCCTCGCCACTTCGCAGTCGTGAGTCCTCCTTTCATCCGTCCTCCTTTCATATCGCCCCCAATCACGTCTTAGCTATCGCGCCTTGCTATCGTGCCTTCTTTTAAGAATTCTGGCCCATTCATGCCCATTCGCTGTTTCGGGCTGAAATTTTCGATGCTCCTAGAAAAACGGCCGGGGGCTTTCCCTTAAATCTCTGCGTATTACTTCCCCTTTGTGCTCAGGAATGCATGAAATGGAAACGAAGTTTGATGCGATTTGGGCACCTTAATCGGATCTCGAGGCTCTAATTCAGGCTTTCTCAGGCTCTTACTCAATATTCATGGATTCAACTTCCATTTCATCGAGAGCAGCCTTTTTCGCTTTCGGACATTGGCGGGCTTTACCTGCCATAAGCGAATTCAATCTTGCGGAGAGATGCTATATATATATAACTTTTTAAATACTTTGATGAGACTTTTGAGGACGTTTATTGGTGTATATTTATTTATTATTATTAAAGTAGAAATTATTTCCTCTGCTGCTCCCTCTAAATATGATCTTCACTTGTTCAGAACTCTGAATTTTTATAAAATATTTGGCTTTCATACAAACTTTTTAGAAGTTCCTTATGTTTGCTGGGGAAGTGAAAATATACTGCAATCCAAACAATAAAATTTTATCATCTATGGCATTGGAGAGGGCGATGGAAATTCACAATGAGATTTTTGTGCGCGCAGACCATGCAGATTTTGAAAACGGAAAATTAATCATGTCAAATCAATTTTGTTTCTCCACTCAGTTCAATTCATGTGCACTTTACACCACGCCATTTCGGTTTCAGAAAAATTTGTACAAAAAAAACTGGACCTTTTGCACATTGCGCACATATCACATTAAAATCTGCCTATGCACGGTCACGCGAAACTCGTTCGGACGAAAAAAAAATAACTGAGAATATCACAGGCAGGCGTTTTTTTTGGGGGGGTTCGTCTCGGTTCTTACCGACATTTTACGACACGAAGACGACACCAACGATTCGCACGGATGTTTTGCCAAGCACTACCTTGTCCCTTTTGTTCGGGTGGGGGGCAGAGGGGGGCGGGGTAAGCTCGTTATCCCCACATAAACCGATTCGACGAGGGTCATTTCTGTCGCGTTTCCCGCCGGGACTTACGAGCCCAGCCTAGATAAAAAAGCGTTTCTGGACTTTCACGGCCGATCCGAACCGGATCCCGTACTGGAAGCCACGCTTTCCCCCCTTCTTCCGAGACTGACAACTGTCATAAATCAGGCCGGGGGAGTCCTGCAATTTCAGACGGGGGGTAATGAAAGGGAGAAGCGACGAAAATGGACGCTGACATCCTATGACAGAGTGCGCTTCCCATTCAAATTACAGTACCCGATGGAGAGATAATGGAAGCACCTGCTATAATCACGTGTCGATCTCCGAGAGCGGAGATCTATGGCCGCCATAAATCAGTTCCAAATCCATATCATCAGGCCCCTGGATTCCTTTCCCGTAATTGTGGCTTCAGTGACACACGCACTCACACACGATCCACATGACGGCATCGATAACACATTGACGCCATTTTTTTTAACGCCTTTTCTTATTTGGCCTTCTCGAGTCGTCTAATGTAACCTTCACAGGCCTTCTGCAACCTGAGGAAGGACGGTGAGGCCTTCTGCAACGTGGAGAAGAACGGTGAGGCCTTTTTTCTCATCATCCGTCGTGATGAAACGCTTCTCGAGGCGTGCATGAGCGGAGATAATTTTTCTTTGCAGTTCAACACTCCGAGAAAGATCGCACGATGCATCGCTGAGCATCGTGCCGATGACATCGGCAGTGAGCGATGAATAAAGTGCAGCGAGATGTCACATCGCCCTGCCGGCGAGGAAATGAGGGAAATGACTCATTTTTTTCACGCGACGTCGTTGCCGGCAGTGTTCAACGGACTGTTCGAAAATTTGCGCCAAACGCGCCGGACCGAAGAATTGCGCCGGCATGAGCCGGAAATCGAATTTTTTTTCCAAAAGCAAAAAGGAAAACTGCAGAAATTTTGTTTCTTCCAGAATTTTTTTTTTTATCTTAAGGGAAGCGCCTGAAGCTTTCATCCCATCTGTCTTATTTTATTATCCCCCCCTAAAAAAAAAATTAATATCATAGTTTGTTGCTGCTGTATCATCTACATCGCGTTAACTTCGGAAATTCTGCATATTCTCCCACATTTGAAGCCTGAACCCGGCAATAACTTTCCACTCGACAGAGCAGAATCACGAAGCTAACTGAATACAGTCGTTCGGCTGATTGTGAGAACCGCAGGGCCAGATTATGATGCGAAGTCATGATTTATTGCGCATGCAAAGTCTGCAAAATCATAATAATAATAAGAGGATTTTAACACTCCTCAGCTGTTGCCTGCAAGCTCAACAAAACAGTTGACCAACAGAACGATTGACCCACGAAACAGCCGACCAACAGAACTCAGGTGAATCAAAATAAAAAATCTTGCGGTCGGTTTGATGCCGCTTTCAAGGCAAATTGCATGAGTAATCTTCGAAATCAGATGGAAAAAAATGCTTATAAAAGGATTCGATGAATGCATCGATTTCAGCCATCGATTATTGGCATCGATTATTGCATGGATTGAGATCGGATCCTTGAAATACGATCCGACCAAGGTCTGGAGCATGGGAACGTCAATTACGACCTTCACTTCCTCTCTTTCTTCCCTTTCTTTGTTATTTGGAAACACGGTATGATGATTATGATGATGATGATGATGATGATGATGGTCGATGATCCGTCCGCCCCTGGGGCAAGGATACAATTCATTATCGGCAGGGGCAAACATAATTTCCGTCTCCCATCGAAAAACGGTAGCGCCGGGGATAATTGCAGCCGAAAATCCTATTAGAATCGGGCACAGGGCCACGCAATCAAATTTGGGCATGCAATCAAATTTGGGCAATTTGAGGACCGCTTCATCACGACCGGGTGACGTGGCTCCAATTTAGGCGCGGTCGGGCGCGACGAATCCCGTGTGGATACCCCCGAAAAAGCGTTTCGCGTTCCCTATCTTCCCTCTTTTCGTCCGTGTTCGTGGAAAACAACGCATCTGTTCCCATTATCGGGGAGTAATTAGTGTCGGGATCGAATCCCCGTAATTTCTGGACCGCTCGCCATGGAAATGAGTCAACAAATGAAGCAGAAAATGGAATGGGTGGAGTGGGGCGATGGGGGGCGAGGTGGGCGCGAGGTGGGCGCGGTGGGCATCACTTCGTT